TACCAGCTTCCATCCCATCATGGAAAGCAACTACCACCCTGACTGATTGGTTCAGATACTGGGGACACTAGAGTTAAATTCCACTAATGATAGGGGTAGATCTACCTGAGAATACTGCACAAGACAATGCCTTCCAGTGAGTTAATGCTATTGGCATTGGCTAAAATCATCCTTCTACTCAAGTGAGGCATAAGAAATATTTTTTAAGAAACTCATTAGAATGTTACATTGCAAGTTTTGACTTAGGCCATTTCAAAGATGCTATAATATAGAGGCAGCCACTATCCAAATGTTCTTTTATAATTTGACACATCTCAAGTATGACTATTCCGATAGTCATGAATATTGCTGAGTCAACTGTTTATACCTATTAAGAAATGTCAGGCCATTGTACGGTCAAACCTACACCTTCCTTAAGGAGTCTTTAAATAAAGCTACCTCATAAGATTAAAACAAAAAAATATTCTCAGGGGCCTTTTTACGGAGTCCTACATAGGAGGATTACTTAATTTAAATATAAAGAGGAAAATTTTTTATTTTGCCTTTAAAACAAGTAAGAAAAAAGGAAACTTAACATGGGCTACTTCACTAAGATTTCCAAAATTGCCCATTCAGTAATGTTTTATATGAACCAAAGGTAAGATAAAAATATTATTGAGAAGTCTTGGCATCAATGTTCCACAGAAGTTATATTTCAATATTTTAATCTAATAAAACCATAATCTTCAACAGACCACTCTACCTCAAAAAAGTTCTTCAGTATTTTCTAATTATTAGAAAACAATTAAAAAATTTTTAACCCTTTTCTTCTTAGAAACAGATAAAAAGAGAGAAGAGAGGAACAATCATAAATGACAGAGAATAACAGAGAAAATTACTACCACTCAATGGGAACATAATCTTTTGGAATCTTTGCTACAAGTCGAGTAAGTAACTCAACGTACTTCTGACAGACTGTTCTATTTTTAATACAAACTTACATCTAATTTTTAAAGTATAAGGTATATTTAATCATCCAAAGTCTCAGTGGCTGACATTATAACAAGCATTAGAAAAAGAAAACATACTTAGCAACAAACAGTGAGCTGAGGCATTAATTCACATATATTGTTTTACCTACAGGAAATTCAGAATCTCTGAAGAGGTTAAATTTTATAAGCTGTCTTCCTCAACTTTGGCTAAATGCAACCACATTAAAATACTAGCATAGTCATTGATCATGAAGCAAAAATGTTTAATGGTAGATTCGCTTTATCTTTACTCAAGAATGATACGTAAGGAAAGCTCTTCATAAGTAAGATGTACACTAATACATGTCAGGAAAATAACATTCTAAATTTTATAGGAGCATGCCTGGCTTGTATTAACAACCAGATTAAAAATAAGGAGAAAAAAAGCTATTACGTTCTTGAGCTGAGAAGTTTCTCAAATAATGGAATCATGTTCAGAAAATAATATTCAAAAATACAGCAAGTTCTCATATATCACTCTGTTAAACAAGCTTCTTTTGAATTCCTCAGTCAAGAGCAACACTTAAAAAAAAAAAAGGAACTATCTGACAAAAAACCACTGCTAAGAAAATTCTTCAACTGTAAACTCCTGCTTGCAACATTTCAATTTTTCCTGAATCCTGAACATTTCTAAGTGACACTAAAAATATTATCTTCTGCTTCTTCTTAAAGAATTAATATTCATAAAAGGATCATCATCATCATCCTGAAATGACATAAAAACACAATGTTAGTGATCATTCTGCTCCTCACTAAGACAAGACAGAAGTTCTTATGGGCAAAACAACACAAAGAAGAGTCATTTTCTCCCTTCACTGGGAGTGTGGGGGAGACTT